GTTTTGCAAAGCGTGGCAGGCGTGGCACTTCCTCGACGCCACAGGGGGGGGCGCTGGGGGTGCGGTCGCTATCCGTTTCGGGCTCGCAAAGCGTGGCAGGCGCGGCAACTTCTCGACGCCGAAGGGAGTGCGCTGGGGGTGCGGTCGCTATCCGTTTCGGCTTCGCAAAGCGTGGCAGGCGTGACACTTCCTCGACGCCACAGGGGGGGGGGGTGCGCTGCCGTGGCAGGCGCTGCGTTTCTTCGACGCCACAGGGGGGGCCTTGGGGGTGCAGCCGCTATCCGTTTCGGGCTCGCAAAGTGTGGCGGGCGCGGCGCTTCTCCTCTCCACTCTCCTCCCTCCTCTCCCCTTGACTGGCGTCACCAACGGTATCGGCGGGGCAGCGGCCACGAGCATCATTCGCACGTGCTTCACTGCCGCTATCACCACTCCAGCCAGGATATAGAAGTATGTGGGGCTCCTCGGTCGCGTAATTTTCTTTGTCCCCCCAAGGTCCCTCTGTATGGGGGACAGGCCCGACTTAAGCTTACAGTGCCGTTTTTGATACATGCTCCGCGTGCGTATCATGTACTAATCATGCAGGGATTCCGTATTAAAAGCAACGATGAGTTCATGCATACATTTATTCTTGATTTGATCATGTATTCAAACCCTATATTAAGAACAATCTCATGTACCCTGTAACGCCCCTCGCGGGGGTAGAAACCAACTGGGTGCAGCTTACTCCGTGCAGCGTCGTGTTCTTTCCTCCGCCTTTCGTGTTCTTGCGCCAGGCGTCCACCTCTGAGGCTCTCGGGAGTTTCCGCAAGGCTCGCAGGTGGTTCGCAAAATGCCCCGCACATTTATTCGAGGTTTCGTCTTCGACTCCGTTCCCAGAGCCCCGACGTGGTGTCTGTTCATCGTGTCGGCGCCCTTGCTTTCGTGAAAGTATCCTCGGAGGGCCTGTTTGTGGCGCCCCCGGGAGAAGGGAGGAGGGAGGAGGGGGGGGTGAAGGAGTAGGGAGGAGGGAGAAGGACGGGGGGGGAGGAGGCGGATCTCGCGCACGGCGCTATCGGAGCCATCGAGATTACGGATGAGGTAGGAGGAGGACGAGGATGAGGAGGAGGAGGAGGAAGAGGAGCAGGCGGTGGAGGAGGAGGAGAAAGAGGAGGAGAAGGAGGAGGAAGAGGGGGAGGAATAATTAAAAGCAGGACGGATGAGGAGAAGGATGGCGACGACGAGGAGGAGGAGAGGGAATGACGCCCGTCCTGGAGCCTGTTGGTGTCGCCTTGGCTCTCCTAGAGCGTGCTGGGGGTCCTGTGGCCTGTTTGGGCTCTTCGGGGCCTCTTGGGGCCTCTTGGAGCCTCCTGCGCCCTCTGGAGCTTCCTGAGTGTCATTGAAAGTGGGTCCTCCTGGGGGCTCTTGAAATCTCGTGGGCTATCCCGGAGCCGCCATTGGCCCTCCTGGAGCCTCCGTGGGCCCTCTAAGAGCCCTCTCGCGGAGGCGGAATGATGAAAACAATTTCGCGCATGGGGGCCTTTCCGTTGAGAAGGGGGGCGCAGTGCAGAGTGGGTCCTCCTGGGGCCTTCCAGTGATCTCCCAGGCACTCCCGAGGCCGCCATGGGCCCTCCTGGCTCTGGGGGCCTCTCAGAAGCCTCTCTCGGGGGGCTGAAAAATGACGACAGTTTCACGGATGGGAGCCTTTCCGCTCAGAAGGGGAGTGCGGTGAAGGGTAATAAATTGACGACAGTGTCGCATTTGAGGCCCCAAATCGTCCTTAGGCACCTCGGGCGCGAATCCCCCTCCCGCATAGTACGGTGCGATTTCCCCTCCCCCCGCTGTCCCGCCGGACCCCGGGAGGGTGATTTTTGTCGTTTTCGCTTGTAAGAAACACTTCCCCCCCCTCTCGACGGTGACGGAGGGCAGGCGGCGGGGGTGGGCGGGGTGGCGGGGTGGCGGGTTGGCTGGGGTTGCGGGGTGGCTGGTTTGGCCGGTTGAGCCGGTTGAGTTGCTTGGGTGGCTGGTTGGTTGGGCTGGCTGGTGGGGCTGGCTGGGGCAAGTGGTTTCGATTAAACACTGCCCTGTAGGGTTCACGCGCGACTGCCCCCCCGAGCGAGCCCGCCCCTCCCGCGGGTTCCTCCTCGCCGCGGCCTCTCGCGGCGTGGCCGCGCGCGGGCGCCCGCAGGCGCGCGCCGGGCCGGGGCGTCCCTCCCCCCCAAACTCGCAGAGAGAGAGAGAGGAGCACCTCCCACCCCACGAAGAGCTCGGCCTCCCTCCCTCGTCCTCCCCTCCCCTCCCCTTCCCCTCGTCCTCCCTTCCCTCCCTCGTCCTCCCTTCCCCTCGTCCTCCCTCCCCTCCCCTTCCCCTCGTCCTCCCTTCCCTTCCCTCTCTCGTCCTCCCTTCCCTCCCTTCCCCTCCTCTCCCCGCCCCTCCCCCCCCAAAATTCGCAGAGGGAGGAGCGCCTCCCACACCCCACGAAGAGCTCGGCCTCCCTCCCTCGTCCTCCCGTCCCCTTCCCCTCCCGGCCCCTCCCCTCCCCCCCCAAAAAAAACTCGCAGAGAGAGGAGCACCTCCCACCCCACGAAGAGCTCGGCCTCCCTCCCTCGTCCTCCCTTCCCCTCCCCTCCCCTCCCCTCCCTTCCCCTCCCCCGCCTCCCTCGCCTCCCGGGCTTCCCCTCCCTCCCATCCCCTTGCGTCCGTAGCCACTGTGGCTCAGCGCGGGGTGGTTCAGGTTCATGGGCGGCTTCGAAGCTAGGTTCCTCTTCTCTAGCTCCACGTGCATGGGACGCATCGGGTATCGAGACAACCATGTTGGAGCAACATGGCGGACCTTTTTTGAGGCAGCTTGGAGTTAGCACGCAGGCCAGGGATGCACGAGGTCGAGAGTTCGGTTCAGACCCCGAAATCCACGCGCGTTTGCCCACCAGCGTTTTGGTGGGAATACATCTGCTCGTTGCTGCAGAAGTTCACGGGGCATGTGCCTGACAAAATCGAGAGAAGGATCATGTCCGATTGCTCTCGAGGGTATAGTTGGGCAGCTCCCGCATGCGACGGCGATCTCTATCAGTCGGTGTACGGACTCCATCAGGACAGGGGACAATGCGGCACATGTGGCATGTATTGGAAAGGTGCCAGTGTATCGGCCCGAAGCGTGCAATCACGGGCTTGCTGTTCGTTTCACCATGTTCAGGGGGGGGCATGTTTTGGTTGCGGAGGTCAGCACGGGCGGCCCGATCGATCTTGCTCGGTTCGTGGGCAGGGGCTGTTTGTTCAACCTTGTCAGATTGCTTTTGCACCGCAACGACGCTCAACGGGTGGACGATCCTCTTCGCGGCGGAGTGTGACGGCTCGTTAGCTCACGCCTGCGCTCTCGGTGCCCTTCGCAATCTGCATCCGAAGGAGAATCCGGCGACCCCGGCGGCTGCCGAGCGTTGAACCCGTCAGCGTGTGGTCCCTTGTCGGATGCATGTGGGACGCACGTTGATTCCCACGAATTCGCGAAGGGCCACGCGGTCAATCAGAGCATGAATTACCTACCCCGCTTTCGCTTCCAGGCAAAACCAAGTCATACCACGCGCCTCCTCGTCAAGCGACCTGACCAGTACAGGCCGTAGTTTGGCATCGTTTGGTACTCTTGGAAGCGAGGGTGGTCAAAAGCGAGGTAGGTTTGTTTTCCCCCTAGTCAAGCAGATCCTGAAGGAGTTCTGGCGCTGTTGCACAGGAGCTCCGCACTGGACAGACGACCGAGTTGTGCCGGGTGTCTTCCAGCCGCAGGCTCGCTTCAGTGAGGCCGTGGTGCCGGTGTTCGCATCGGTTGTGTGCGCGAGGCCGCCGAGTTGCAGCTGTGGTTTGAAATTGTGTCCATCTCTACCGTTGCGGGCGGCGCCTGTCGCAGGGCACTATGTACAACATGCACATGCCCAGGGCTGCATTATCGGTGGCATCGCTCGCGTCAAATTCGGCTTTGCGGCGACGGCGGCTATAGGGTGGGGGGGGGGCGTATGCATTTACCCGCCCGCCCGTTGCGTTTCAGATGTTGTTTGTTTTGTTTGAGTGGGCGGGGGTTGCAGCTGCCAGTCGTTGTTTTCAATGTTTCTGTGGTCGCCCCGCTGGTCACTTCGGACTTCGGTGGCAGGTTACTAGTATGGCAAATGCTCATCAAGAGTTTCCTTCGATGATGGGGAGGGGATTCCTACTGGCGATGTGCAGGGGCGTTCAATTGATGGCGGGCTTACCTTTGAGTAAATTGTAAGTGTCTATATGTGTCTCTTCGGCACTCACAGGCTCCTCGGCAAGCATGGTGGAACGACGCTTGCATCTGGAATCGCAAAGAGGATGTGCGTGGGGGGGCGAATCGAGTCACCTTCATTTCAACTTAGTTGCGCTTCGCTGCTGCAGACGAGACATTATGTCGGTACGTTTGCGTGTTCAAATCATCGTGTTCACCTTCCTGTGCTTTGTCATCAGAGTCGGCGTCGCCGCGGGCAAATGCAGGGGGCGGCGGGCGCAAATTGTGTAATTGATCATGTTCTTTCTCCTTCTCCCTCCAATCCCCTCGATTTCCTTGCCTTCCTCCGCCCCCCCCCCTGCCCTCTCCCTTTTGCAGGAGGGGGGGGTAACCGCCGCCCGAAGGGTGGAGAACGGCTTCGAGCCCCTGGTCGGCTGGCAGGACATGCGCCCTCCTGCCGCGGCAGATGCAAGAGTTGCTGGGATAAGGGACGATCGAATTCGAGGTTCGGTGATCGAGCTTGGCCTTGCGTCGCTGCCCACGATCGTTGCCCTCCATCTTGGCCCCACGCCGGCCGAGGAATGCTGGGCCCCCGAGATAGGGGGCCCGCCGCTTCCATCGTTGCCTTCCATCGTTGCCTCCCAGCTGCGCCCCGACGCTGGTTGTGTAAAGCTGCTTGGGGTCCCATGCCGCAAGGGAGTTCTTCTCAAGTTCCCCTCCTCCCCTTCCCTCCCGCCCACGCGCTCCTCCTCGTGCTCGCGTTTTTGCTTGCGAGGGCTTCCACGTGAGCACGATGTCCGCTCCACAGAGCCAAACCCGCAGCGACTGGTCGAGGTTTTCGCCGCCCCATCCGCGCATGTCGCTATCGAACCCCCCCGACGCCTGCCACCGCTCGCGGGTAGTCGCCACCAAGCCTAGAGCAGGTGCCCTCGGACGTGCGTCCAGCAGCAGTGGAGACCCTTAGCATGGCATGTGTATGTGAGGGGCCTGTTGACTGTCTCCGCCCGTGCAGGAACGTCTGGGGCGTTGCTCTGTCTTGGCATCGCTCGGACGTGTGCATTTTTTCTCGGCGAGGACCATCGAGGAGCATCCTTGATCATTTGGCGAAAAAAACACGCACGAAACCGGACAAAGAACAGGGAATGGACGTCCGAGCGATGACCACTGTACACGTGGGGCGTTCCGCGGCTGCCGCCGCTTGAGGCCAGCCGACCGCTCGCAGCCGATGACTGGCAGAGACTCAAAAATACGAACCAGTTTCGCCTTCACGTGCTACATCCGCAGCGAGACCCTGAACCCGAGAAGCTTCCAGAACCCCGCGTTGCGAGATACAGACCGCTGGCTGACATGACTGAACGCTGGACTCCCTGATTTCAGTATTCAGTACTGTTCTTTCTTACTCGGGTTCGACCGCCGAACGGCATTCAGTACTGTTCTTTCAGTACCGTGCCGAACGGCATTCATTTGACCGCCTCGTGGTTCGACCGGCTTCTTCTGGACGGCCAGTGAAACAACGATACGCGTATTTCGACTTCTCCCATTCGTTATACAGGTGTGTATGCACATCATTCGTCCTTCCTGGTGCTCCCTGCCGTGAGAACGCGGGCTTGTACCTGATCCTGCCCGTGGTGCTCGTCGTGGTGCAGCTGTTCTTCGCGAGGCTGTCGACACCCAACAAGGAGCGGCCTGGGGCCCCGCTCGTCGTCGTCGTCTCAGTCGGAGGCGGATGAGGGGGATCACTTCCCACCAAACCACCCCAAGCCAACCCGAAGGCTTCAATCTGCCCTCCATTTCCAGTGGGGGGGGGGGGATCGGGGAACATCGAAAGACGACATGGTCCCCGTACCCCCCCCAACCCGGAATTCGGGTCAGATTCGTGTCTTCGGGTTGGGTTGGGGTGGTCTGGTAGGTAGTCAGGGGATGAGGAGGATGAGGAGGAGGAGGACGAGGAGGAGGAGGAGGAGGAGGAGGAGGAGCAAAAGGGGCACGAGGAGCACGAGGTGCAGAGGGCTCGGCTGGCCAAGCTTGCCCGACTTTCGGCGCATGGGCGCACGCCAAGTACGTAGGAGGCGGCTGGGCTCGGCGCGGCACTGGCGGTGGCCGCGCCAGGCTCGCTGCGTTTCGGGACGAACAGCTCGTCAATAGGAAGATGCCCAGACCTCTTTGGGGAAGCACCTTGCAAACGGGCGAGAGCTGGGCCCTTCGCTCCGCCCCGCGCACGCGCGCCGCACCTCCTCCTTCAGACGTCCGGCGCCGGGCCTCTCCTCGCGGCGCCGCCACCCCCCCCCCCCTCCTGCCCAGGGGCCGGCCCAGCTCTCGTCGTCGCGAGCCGTTCGCCGGCCAGCCTCCCTGTGAGGCCCAGGGTGACCACGGGGCCCACGGAGGCCGAGAAAGGGGGCAGAGGAAGGCCTCCCGCCGTGGTGTTCTCCACGACGCGAGGCGGGGTCGTGGGCGCGAGGCGGGAATGGATGCTCACCACCTACCAGACCGCCTCAACCCAACCCGAAGGCCGCAATTTGCCTTCCATTTCCAGTCGGGGGGGGCGGTCGGAGAACACTGAAAAAACACACATACGGAACCCGTGGCCCGCCCAACCCGAAATTCGGGTCTTCGGGTTGGGCTGGGGTGGTCTGGTAGGTAGTCAGATACGTAAACCACTCCTTGGGTGACCGATCTTCGGGGTTCTCGGCAGGCGGTGGACATGGAGGTACTCCGGCCTTGCAGGGTGGTCCAAGCACGTCCGCATCCACCGTTTGCCGAAGTCCCCAGAGAGCGATCCCGCTGCTCGTTTGGGCCCTCCCAGGGCCCGCCGAACGGATCTGCTCGACTCCAGCTCGACGATGGCTCGACGCAAGCTCGACCCTAGTCCGACTCGAGTTCGACTCGAGCCGACGCATGCCTAGACGCGCAGCATCGACGCACGAGTGGAGCGGGTGGTTCCAGGAAGATCTCCAGGGCGAACGTCCACGGGACAAGGCCGGAGGACCTCGAGGCTCGAGGCGCAGGGACACGTTCCGTTTTTGAGGGGCCTCCGAGAGGCCCCTCTCGGGGGCCACGTGCGAACCCTACCCCTACCCCCCACGGCTTCTGCGGGGGGAGGGTGGGGTTCACTTCGTTCGGGAGCTCCCAAGCGAAGTGCGCCCCACCCTCCCCCTCAGAAATCGTGGGGGGTATAGGGGTAGGGTTCGCAGGTGGCCCCCTACCCTCCGTCGCCACGGCTGGGCTCCTGCCGGAGTGTGGGCCAGAGCGCGCCCGTGGAGGGCGGGAGGGAGCCCGCGGGGCCGCCGTGGCGGCGAAGAGGGGTCCCGAGGGAGGTCTCCAGAGCGAGCACATCTGACCTGACGATCGAACAACACGCACCCACACCCATAGGGGGGACGGAGGAGGCCATGGGTGCGTGTTGTCGGATGGGGGTCCCCGCTCGAACGGGGGCTTCCCCCAGGGTCCGACAAGTCGCACCCATACACATAGCCAGTTCCCCTCCTTTCGACCCTCCTATGGGTATGGGTGTGAGTTGTTCGCTCGTCATGACCCCCAGACCTCGATGAGGACGTCGAGTGCAGAATCCTATGTGCCCCGACCTGTTTGTTCCCGCCGGATCTGCAAGGCATATATGTGCAGGCTGCTCGCAGATCTACGAAGGTCCCAATTTGCGCATGCCTCGTAGAGTCGACGACCATCTTGGGGAACACCGGGCTCCTCCAAGGGCACACCGTCGGATTGACGCCCCACCTACTGCCACATTTGCTATCTCCTATCTCTTTCTCCGACCTGGACTTCCCTCTCCTTGTCCCCCAGGGGGTGTCGCACGTTCGCCTCCTCGTCGTCGTCCTCTTAGGGGCATCGGGATGAGTCCGCCAGGTAAGGTATGGTCAGCGCCGTCGAACACATCAGATTCGACATACTTGCATCATGTGATGATGATACTGCTACTTCTGCCATTACTACTACTACTACTACTACTACTACTACTACTACTACTACTACTACTACTACTACTACTACTACGACTACGACTACGACTACGACTACGACTACTACTACTACTACTGCTACTGCTACTACTACCACTACTACTACTACTACTACTACTACTATCACGGCTATTACGACTACTATTACTACTACTACTACTATTACTACTACTACTACTACTACTACTACTACTACTACTACTACTACGACTACGACTACTACTACTACTACTGCTACTACTACTACTACTACTTCTACGACTACTACTACTACTACTATGAATGCTATTATTACTTCTACTACTGCTACGACTACAACGATTACTCCTATTGCTACGGCTACCACCATGACAGCGACTTCTACTACCCATACTACTACTACTACTACTACTACTACTACTACTACTACTACTACTACTACTACTACTACTACTAGTACTACTACTACTACCACCACTACTACTGCTACTGCTACTGCTACTACTACTAATACTACTACTACTACTACTGCTACTACTACTACTACTACTACTACTCTGACTACTCATAGTATAAGTACGACTACTACGACGACGACTATTTTTATTATCGCTACTACTACTACGGCTACGACGACGACGACGACTACTTCGACTACTACACCCACGACGGGGACACGAATACGACCACTACTACAACGACTACTATTACTACTACTTCTACGACTACTATTATTAATATTGCTATCACGATGGCTATACGACGAGGACTACTACCACAACTATTATCACGTTTTGTAATATTTGTGTTACTAGTGTGGCTACTGCTGCACATCGTATTATTAGTAGTAGTAGTAGTAGTAGTAGTAGTCGCCGTAGTAGTTGATCTACTACTATTAATACGACTAATACTACTACTGGAACTACTACTACTACTACTACTACTACTACGACTACTACTACTACTGCTACTACTACTACTCCTACTCCTACTCCTACCTCTACCACTACAACTATTATTACTACTACTACTACTGCTACTACCTGCTGCTACTACTACTACTACTACTACTACTACTACGGCTACTACTACTACTACTACTACTACCACTACTACTACTACTACTACTACTACTACTACTACTACGACTACTACTACTACTACTACTACTACTACTACGGCTGCTGCGACTGCTGCGATACTACCACGACGACGACTACTATTACTATACTAAAACTGCTACTACTACTACTACTACTGCTAAAACTATTCCTGTTCATTCTCCGACTACTACTACTGCTACTACTACTACGACTTACTACTACTACGACGACTACTACTACTAGTACTAAGACTGCTCCTCTGACTACTACTCTGATTATTTGTCCTACTACCTGCCACGACTACGACGATTGCTACTACTATTACTACTACTACTACTATTACGAGTAGTGGTACTACCACCACCACTTTTGCTACTACTACTACTATTACGACTACTTCTACTACTGCTGCTTCTACTACTACTACAAATGCTACTACTAGTAATACCACGAATGCTACTACCACTACTCCTAGTACTACTTCTACTGCTACGGCTACTACGACTACAACTACCACTACTACTACTACCACTACTACTACTACTACTATTACTACTACTACTACTACTACTAATACTACTACTACGACTACTTCTACTACTACTACGACTACTACTACTACTACTGCTAATGCTGCTACTGCTTTTGATTACTTCCACGACTACTTCCACCACCACTTCTCGTACGACGACGACGGCTACTCCTGTCTGTTAGTAGTACTACTACTACTACTACTACTACTACTTCTACTACTACTACTACTACTACTACTACTACTACTACTACTACTACTGTTACTACCACTACTACTACTACTACTACTACTACGACTACTACTACTACTGCTACGACTATTACTGCTACTACTACTACTACTACGATTACTACCATTACTACTGCTACTACTGCTACTACTGCTACGACTTACTTCTCCTACAACCACTTTTATTGCTACTAATACTACTACTACACTTACTACTACTACTACTACTACTACTACTACCACTACTACTACTACTACTACTACTACTACTACTACTACTACTACTACTACTACTACTACTACTACTACTACTATTACGACTAGTACTACGACGACATCCACGACGACGATTACGATATACATCTATTATGTCTACTGTTACTACTCCTACTACTAAAACTACTCCTGCTCATACTCTTACTGCTGCTACTACTACTACTACTACTACTTCTATGGCGACCACTACTTTAAGTACGATTACTACTACTAGTACTACTACTACTACTACTACTACTACTATTACTACTACTACTACTACTACTACTACTACTACTACTACGACTACTACTTCGGAGTCCCGCCAGTGCCCTGGCTGACAGCCGTGATGGTCCTCCTCCCTCCCCTCCGCCGTAGCCCGATGTGCCTTCCACGCGCACGCCCGCAGGAGCCCGATGCGGTCACGCTCGCGTTCCCGTTCGTTATCGGCATATCCACGCTGGTCAGTCCCCAGGACAGGCGGCGCGAAGCGTAACTCCTCCTCCTCCTCCTCCTCCTCCCTCCTCCTCCTCCTCCTCCTCCTCCTCTTCCTCCTCCTCCTCCTCACCCTCCCCCCCCTCCTCCCACACTTTCTTCCTTCGAAGAAAGAAAATATGCAGAAATAGAGACGTTCGACGTCCGCGCAGATCTCTTGTACCTGCGCTGGACCCCCTTGGCGGCGCCTCCGGCACCGCCCTTCTTTGGCGCGCTCCACGCGCCAGGGAGGTTCAGCGCAGATCCAAGAAACTCTCGCGGACCAGCGACAGTAATTTTTGTTATGCAGCTTTTCCTTACTCCGCTCCTGCGAAAGATGCGGGGGTGGGACGAGGGCCAACACATAACATCAGCACCTTTGCATGACAAGTCAAGCTCACTTTGTAAACAGTCTGGAAAGGTCTAAAATATTGTGTGTGTTTTTTTCCGCCGGAGTCTGTCAGGTCAGGGGAGGATGATGATGATGAGGAGGAGGACAGAGAGCGATGGAGGGGGGTTGGGGGAGGAGGGAGGAATCTGATGATGATGATGATGATGATGATGATGATGATGATGATGATGATGATGATGATGATGATGATGATGATGATGATTATGGGGAGGAGGAGGAGGAGGAGAAGAAGGAGGAGGAGTGGTGGTGGTGGGAGGCTGCCATGAGCGGGGACGCTGTGCTCCGAGGAGCCTCGTTCAACGGCTCAGGACAGATGGTGATCGAAATTGCGAAGCTGAGCGCCGACCGTGGAGGTATGCACAGGGACGATGCGTTGGCAGGGACCCCGGGACACGCCAGCGCGCGCCTGGGGGTAGTCGAGAGCTACGACGATCAGCGCCCGCTCTCACAGTGCCCCGCGAGGCTGGGAGAGCGCACGCGGCCGCCGGGAGCGGCGCAGGCGCCGGATGCGACGGCAGTCCGGGGAGGGGGGCTCGGCATCGCTCGGACGTGTGCATTTTTCCTTCGGCGAGGGCCATCGAGGAGCATCCTTGTCCCTGATCATTTGGCGAAAAAAAACCACGCACGAAACCAAAAAAACACAGGGAATGGACGTCCGAGCGATGCCCAGTCGAGCCTCCCCCTCCGCGCGGGGAGCGCGGCGCAAGGTCGGGGGCGGGGCCCGGCACCACGCCCGCGGCCCGCAGGCAGGTGGCCCGCACCCTTGAGTCGGGGGCGGAAGAGAGGGGGGTGATGACCAGGGGGGGGTGGGATATCATGGCGGGGGCCATGATCTTTCCCCAGATCTCGTGGCACCTCTTTTATATTTCTTTACGTCCCTGGCCCCCCCCCGCTGGGCCGCGCACATGCCGCCGGTCATGATTTGCACCCCCCCCCTCTTGGACCCCCCCCTCTTGGCCGCTCCCGACTTGAGCCTCCCCTGCGTACCCGGCAGGAGGACGGAGATTCCACTGTTGTCGCCGTGCTCTCGGCCACTGGTCAGGAAGAGATCGTCGGCGCAAAGAAGATGCAGTGATGTCGCCTGTGGTGGCTCGTCTGGCCGATGTCGAGGAGGATCTAGGCCTCCCAGATGGGGTCGGAGTAGATGGGGTCGGAGGCTCGCACCGCATCGCCGATGCATCGGCGATGCATCGGCGATGCATTGGCGATGCGGCTCGATGTGGAGACTGTGTTTCCCCACGCCGACGTCGCCGATGCATCGCCGATGCATTGGCGATGCGGCGCGATCCTTCGACCCCATCTACTCGGACCCCATCTAGGAGGCCTCTAGAGGAGGAGGAGGAAGAGGACGTGGACCTTGACCTGTTCGGCTGAGCGGCGATGCGCCCGCCGTGGCCGATCCGCGTACCCAGCAGGTGGGAGCGACCCCGGCTCCACACCCCCGAAGCCCAGCAGTGCCCTGAGCCGAGGCGCGCCTGGGCGAGCCTCCATCCCATGTTCGGCTGGCCTCCTGCTCCTCGAGAGCGCTCCGTGCCCTCGCTCGTTTCGGGGACCCTCCTGGGGCCCACCGAAAGCATCTTTTCGACACGGGCTCGGCTCTAGTTCGACTCCAGTTCGACTCAGGTTCGAGTCGGTTCGATTCTAGTTCGACTCAAGGTCGACTCGAGTCGACGGACGTCTGACGCAGCTTCGACGCGTGAGCGGCGCGAGTGGCTCCAGGAAGGTCCCCAATGAGCATCTAACTTTCCCGTGGACGAGAAAAACATCCGTATCCGCGGCCTCGCGCTTGGCATCGCTCGGACGTGTGCATTTTTCCGTCGGCGAGGACCATCGAAGAGCATCCCTGATCATTTGGCGAAGAAGCCACGCACGAAACCAAACAAAAACACAGGAAATGGACGTCCGAGCGATGGTCAGCGCGGGCCGGGCCCCTGGGCCGCGACCCCGCCCCACGCGGAGCGTGTCCGCACGACCGCACATCCCGCGGGATCCGGCCCCAGAATCCAGGCCGCGAGGACACGATGCGCTCGCCGCTCATGGCTCCCCGTCCATCTTGCACCTGCCCCTCCACTTCCTCGTCCCTGGCATCGCTCGGACGTGTGCATTTTTTTCCTTCGGGGAGGACCATCGAGGAGCATCCTCGATCATTTGGCGATATAAACACGCACGAAACCGAAACGAAAACACAGGGGAATGGACGTCCGAGCGATGGCCAGTTCCCCATCCGCCTCGCCCGCTTCCTCCCTCGTCCGCGCAGACTGCGCTGGCACCGTGGGCCGTCTGCGCAGGCCCGCGGGCGCCGCGAGCAGCAGCTCGGCGAGGGCCCACAGATGGGCCGAGATCGGGGGCCGCCGCGAGGGCGCGCAGATCCACCGGGTCCCTGCGCACACCTCCCAGGTGGGCGTCAGGGAAGGCACGGTACAGTCGGCGCTCTTCCTGGTGTTCCTCCCTCTCTCGTCCGTTGTCCTCCTTTCCGTCCTTCTCCTTTGCCTCCTCCTCCTCCTCCTCCTCCTCCTCCTCCTTCTCCTCAGTGCTCCCCGTTTATCCCTCGTCCCCCTTCTTCTCTCCCTCCCTCGTCGTCTTCCTCCATTTCCTCTCTCCTTCCGTTTATATTGGTTCTTCTCCATCCGTCCTCTCTAACTCGTCTTGCTCTTCTCGCCTCCCTCCGTCGTCGTCGGCCTCCTCCTCCTCGCCCCCTCCCCACTCTCACGCCCCGCGCCAGGGCCTCGGCATCTACTGGCTCACGAATTCGGTCCTCAGCCTTGCCCAGACGCAGCTCGCGCGCACCGAGGCGGACTCAGAGTTCCCCGAGCTGAAGGAGGATGTGCCGCTGCAACTCTCTGCCCTCCCTGGAGTTCTGGGCGTCGCATGTTTTTCACACCGGCGTGTTCGCATCGTTTCCGGTCGTTGGACCATCACAGATCGACCAGGTTTGAAACATGCAGCAGACAGTTTGTGTATGGCAGCGATCTTCCGCGATGCTGGTCTTTTTTCGCAGCGTTGACGAAGTCCCATGTCCGCGAAGCGGCGTGCAGAGGCCTGAAAGCGTCACAAGCGTGAATTGTTTGGCGACGCCACTCGTAGACATCGACACGTTTTATCTGTTCAGCCCGCGGGGCCCAGAGGTTTTGGTCTCGACCCTTCCCCCTGGGGGGAGTTATCCGTCCCGTACCCATGTTTGGAAGCATCGGGGCCCCAAAACGGCCCTTGGATGCCGAAATCGAGGGAGCACATGCCAGCGATCGTCAGTAGTCATCTGATTTGAGATGTTCCATCCCGTATTGCTGCCTCGGCCCAACCCTTGGAGTGTGTTCTGGGTGCATGTCGTGTGCGTCTGTTGGCGTTGACACAGATGCGCGCACATCCATATATCTAGGCATGTGTACAAAGATACTCATAGTTATAGGGGTGCATCTACACATATATATATATATATATATATATATGTGTTTATACATACACACACCTATACGACCACCCTTCGGGTGATAAGGAGGTTGTGGGGAGGGGAGGAGAGGGGGGACCAACATCTGACTCAATCGATCTCACTATCGATCTCACTCAACGGGACACCACGGGACACTTGTCGATCTCACTATCGATCTCACTATCGATCTCACTTAACGGGACACCACGGGACACAACGGGACAAGGCGGGGCACCTCTCGATCTCATGATCGGTCTCTTTATCGATCTCTCTATCAATCTCACTCAACGGGACACAATACCACGGGACACCTCGGGACACCACATCGATCCCAGTATCGAATTCATTATCGATCTCACTATCGATCTCACTCAACGGGACACCATGGGACACCACGGGACACCTGCCGATCTCACTATCGATCTCACTCTCGATTTCCATTTTCGGGACACCACGGGACACCGCGGGGCACCACATCGATCCTGGTATCGATCTCACTATCAATCTCACTCTACGGGATACTACGGGACACCACGGGATACCTGTTGATCTCACCATCGGTCTCACTTTTCGGGACACCACGGGGCACCACATCAATCTCAGTATCGATCTCACTATCGATCTCGGTATCGATCTCACTATCGATCTCACTATCGATCTCATTAAACGGGACACCACGGGACACCACGGGACACCGCGGGACACCGCGGGACACCGCGAGCCACCGCCGGACGGACGGACGGGCGGGCGGGCGGGGGAGAATCATTTGTCTTGACTTCGCCCTAGTAACGGCAGACAGCACGGGACACCACGGGACACCGCGAGCCACCGCGAGCCACCGCTGGACGGGCGGGGTTGGGTTGTCTTCACTTCGCCCTAGCAACGGAGGGTTCATTCCTCTCGCGCGCCCACGCAGCTTCGCCTCGCCCGCACGCACGACACGAACGAAACGAAACGATTTCCCGGTTGGGGGTCTCCGTTCCACTGCGATCTCACCTCCCAACCTCCGATATATACACATGTGCATATAGACATATATATATATATATATACAACGCATCTATGCATATTATAGATGTATATTTAACACATCGCACACATGTAAATACGCAGATGCACATAAAACCCTCCTGAAGGACAGCGACAAATCGGTTCAGTAGCCCCCCTTCCCCAACCCTCATCCAGAGTCGGCCCTTGGCGCGGCCGTCACCGCTCTGGGGGCTTCGACGCAGCAGTGGAAGGAGGGGGGTCGCGCCGTTGCGAGAAGATGATCCCCCCTGACCGCGCAGCCCCACGAAGACTCCAGCGCGTTCCCTCAAGCCATGGCCACCTTGGGCAAGCTTCTCTTCGGCACCGCGGCACTCGGGGCGTCTGCCGGAGAGCCGGAGAGGTGCCGGTACCCTGCTCTCCGGAGGAGAGGAGGGAGAGGAGGAGGGGGAGAGGAGGGGGGAGAGGAGGAGGGGGAGAGGAGGGGGGAGAGGAGGAGGGGGAGGAGGAGGATCGAGGGGGGGGGATCGAGGGAGGAGGAGAGGAGGAGGAGGAGGATCGGAGGAGGAGGAGGAGGAGGAGGAGGAGGGGGAGGAGGAGGAGGAGGGGGAGGAGGAGGAGGGGGGGGCCCGCCCGCGCCCCTGGGTTGGCATGGAAGGGGCCCACGGCGGCCCGCGGGGGGGGGGCCCGAGAGCGCCCGGGCGTGTGAGAAAAGCGTGCACGTCGCGTGGCACACGGCAACGCCTCGGGGCAGAGCAGACAGAAAGAGAGAAAGGTAGTGCAAGGACCAGCATGACAAGGTACTCGGCCCTCAGGAAGACCGCTAGCGGATCGATGTGATCCGCTCGGTCGGCGTGAAATTCTCCCGGACAATGAAGGCGCCCAGGCGTACCGTGGCGACCAGCATCCGGGATCTCTCCTCAAAACGGGGCAGAGCGGATACGATGCCACCATGCTCTCGGCCACGCGCAGAGGGGGGTGGGGGGAGGGGGGAGGCCTTCTTAGAAGCCTTCCCCCCTCCCCTTACCCCCTTGTGCGCGCCGCCAATGTTCGCCACGGTGCAACGCCTGGAGGGCGAACACTCTCTCTATCACACACACACGCACACGCACGCACACACACACACACACACACACACACACTAATTCACTTCGCTCGTCGTGCGGCAGCGCCGGGTGGGACAAGCGGTACATGCCATCACGTTCCCCACTCGGAGTGTGGCAGCGCCTGAGGGGGGGGCGCAGAACGGGGTGCCCATGCTGCTCGTCACGTGGCAGCGTCGCGTGGGCTGAGAGAAATGCGCAGATCCACTCAGCTCGCCACGTGGCAACGCCTGGGAGTCACATGATTCTAATCCACTATGCTTAAGTCGGGCGTGTCCCCCTACATGGGGATTTTCGACGAAAAATAAAAAATGCCCCAAACATGCCCCAAAAAGGAAACAAACATACTCAAAAAATAGTCCCCAGGCTATGTTTGGACTATTTTTGGAGTATTTTGGTGGTATGTTTTATTCTTCGTCGAAAATCCCCCTGTAGGGGGACAGGCCCGACATAAACACTATGCTCTCCACGTGGTAACGCAGCAGGGCGGAACCACACAATGCTTCTCTCTACTCCCCACGTGGGGACGCCGAGGGGGAAACAACAAGCTCGACCAGCCACGCGGCAGAGCCGCGGACGACGACGACGACGACGCCGCACGACGGACGGCGGACGACGACGACAAACAGAAAGACGACGACAACGAGAACGACGACGACGAAGACGACCACGAAGACGACGACAGCGACGACGACGACAACGACGACGACGACGAAGACCACGGCAACGAAGACGACGACATCATGCACTGGACTGGAATGGGATAGGACATAATGGTATTTGATGAGATGGGATGGGATGGGATGGACTGTATTGGAATGTAATGCATTCGACCGACATGTCACGGAACCGAACGAAGCCACCGCCGTTTGTCAGTGTTCTTGTTCTCGTCACGTTTCGTTATATTCCATTACAAACCAAGCCATGCCAATCCATCCTCTCCCATCGCATCCCACATCCCAGGCCATCCCATTCCATTCAAATTAAATCCGTCGTCGCCGTTTTCGTCGTCGTCGTCATCCTCGTCGCCGTCGTCGTCCTCGTAATCGTTGTCGTCGTCGATTTGCCAGGTTAAGCCTTGTTTCCAGGTTGATTGAGCGGTTTGTTCGTCGGTGTGTTGCTTGGTTGGTTGGCTAGTTGATCGGTTGGTTGATTGGCTCGTGGGTTGGTTGGCCACTTGGCACACACACACACACCTCGCACACACACACATATCGCGCTTCGGCAGCCTGGAGTCAATGATCTAGATCCGCTTTGTATTTGACCACCGAATGAATTTGTTCTAAATCCCCAAAGAATTGATGTGAATGATAGACCCACCTCATTTTACCCATAATCCCCAAATAGCTTGATCCATTCTTTGACATGGTCAAAATCATTGAAATACCACCAGGGAGGAAGGTCATGAGGTGCCTCCATCCTCCTTTTTCCTGTTTTTGTTTATCTAACCTCCATCCTCTATTCCATCCTCCGTCTCCGTCCATCCCCCGTCCAAGAGACCCAGGAAGCCTCCAAGAAAGCGCCGCGTCCACGACCGGTCCAACACAAACACACACACACACACACACACACACTCTTACATACAGCACACATATTTACAATTACGCACATACACACAACACCCAACACACAAGCATACACACACACACACCTTCACACATACATATCGTAGTAGGCCGGGCGCGGGCCCGGAACCACGACCACGGATTGGCATCGGGGCTCTTCGCGCCCCAGGGGCGCCCCTGTGGCCCCCCGAAGTGGCCTTTTGGGCGTATCGGCTCCAAAATTGTTGTAACAGTTTTTTAGACCAGCCCAACACAACCCGAGACCGCCGCAGACAGGCTACGCCATGCCAGTCCCGTGCAGGCTTCAGTGGGCGCCCGAGGCCTCAGAAGAGTTCCCTGAGAGCCACAAGTATTGCATGTCCTTAGCGTTTTTGAAGTTTCCGAGTGTCCAACAATCCATGACGGCCCAAGAGGCTTCCAACACCGCTGCAGGACGCGCCAAGAGGCCTCCAGGAGGCCCCCAGGACGACCTAACAGGGCTCCATGATGCCCCCAGGGGCGCCCAAGACTGCCCAAGAGGCCTTGCAGACGGCCCCAAGATGGCCTCCAGAGGTGGATGGAGCCTGAACCGAAATCGGGAGTCTTCCGCCCCAAGAGGCTCCCAGGACGCTTCAAGAAGGCGCCAGGACGGCCCATGGCAGGTTCCAGTGAGCGCCCGAGGCTCCAGGCGAGTGCCCCGAGGGGCGCAAATCTTTGATGTCCCTGAGGTTTTTGTCGATATTTTTCGGGTCCTCTACTTGTCGAGTTCCCGACAATCCACGACGGCCCAGGAGGCCTCCAACACCGCCTCAGGACGGGCCAAGAGGCCCCCAGGAGGACGGCCTAACAGGGCTCCATGACAGCACTAGTCTCGCCCAAGACGGCCCAAGACGGCCCAAGAGGCCCTACAGCTGGCCCCCAGATGTGCTCAAGAGGGGAGCATGAACCGTAGTTTCGAGTTCTTTGCCCCAAGAGGCTCCCTGAAGGCTTCAGGAAGGTTCCAGGACGGCCCCGGGCAGGCCTCAGTGGGCGCCCCAGGCCCCAGATGAGCGCCTCGAGAGGCAATGATATTTGATGTCTCAAAGGTTTTTCAATGTTTTGGAGGCCTAGATTTTCCGAGTTTCTGACAATCCACGACGGCCCAAGAGTCTTGCAACACCGCCTCAGGACAAGGTTTTATGACAGCCCCAGGGGTGCCAAAGATGGCCTGAGAGGTCTTGAAACTGGCCCCAAGATGGCCTCCAGAGGTGGAGCATGAACCGACATTTTGAGTCTTCCGCCCCAAGATGCTCCCGGGAGGCTTCAAGAAGGCTTCAGAGGCTGCCACGAGGCCCCAAGCGGACCCCAAGAGGTCCCCACGACGCCCCAGAAGATTCCAAAACGGCCCACGAGGCCAAACAACGGCCCCCAAGAGGCCCCCGCGAGGCCTCCCTCGACATCCCTTCTGACATTCTCATTTTTTTGTTGACGCACTACCCACGCAAGGCGGCGTGCCGAGATGGGTCGATAGCCATTCCAGTCTCTTTCGCACACCCCCTAATTACGCTCCGTATGACATTCCTTGCCGTGGCCTTCCCATCTCCTACGATGTTCATGTTCTGTTTTGCTAGATTACACCTCCCCAATCTCACTTTTGAGCTTCACCACCATCTGAAGATTTTTGAATGATTTCATCTGGCTGTCCCTTGGGCTTTGCAGTCTCATGTGGGGTACCCTGGAAGCCTCCACGAAGACTCCAATACGGCCCACACCATCATGTTCCCAGAGATCCTTTCCGGGAATATGATTGTCGCCGCCAGTCCACGGAGGACACCAAAAAGGAGAAGGAGGAGGAGGAGGAGGAGGAGGAGGAGGAGAAGGAGAGGAGGAGGAGGAGGAGGAGGAGAAGAAGAAGAAGAAGGAGGAGGAGAGGAGGAGAGGAGGAGAGGAGGAGAAGAAGGAGAAGGAGGAGGAGGAGGAGGAGGAGAAGGGTCCGCGCCATCCCACCGGACATTCCAATTCAGCGCAGCGTTGCTCGGGGGCCCGTTCACAGCGGAGTTGGGGTCGTGCCCGCGGCCGTGCTCCGAGCGAATTTGGTGTCGAGCGTGTTGCTTGCAACTGCCAGGAGGAGGAGGTTGAGGAGGAGGAGGAGGAGGAGGAGGAGGAGGAAGAGGAGGAGGAGGAGGAGGAGGAGACGAGACGAGACGAGACGAGCCCAAGGAATCCACCACTGTCTTTACCAGCCTCGAACTTATCCGTATCCCTAAGATCTGACACGCCCAAAAGCGATGACAATCTTAGGGATGCACCCTCAAGAAATACCCGAACCCCTAAGATTGGCATCGTGATGAGGAGATGCCCAGCATAGGGATAGGGATATGTTCCAGGCTGGTAATGTCTGGAACGACCAACAGCTTTACATGGGTGGGTAACTTCGACCCTCACAAATCGTTAAGTAAAGACCTGCAGCTCACGCCCCTCAGCTGAGGCACTGGCCTGTCGTCACCTGCGAGGCACGCGGCCTCGAGCGAGGGCCAAGTCGAACGGCGCAGGAGACAGCCATGCAAAGGTGGTCCAGCGCCGATCCGAGAACACCGCGCGGACCTCCGAGGTTATTATATCTATGCCACTTTTTGCCCCCCTAGGGATGGAGAAGGCGCGGGGAGGGTGTCCGTCGCGGCCTCCGGCCGTCAAGACCCTGCCGTGGGTTCGCTGGTGTGGCATCCACAGAGGTAGGGAGGGGGGCAGGGACGGAGAAGGGGCGGGACTCCCGCCGTCAAGTCCTTGCCGTGGGTTCGCTGGCAAGTGCCGTGCCGGCGGAGCTGCCGCGGAGTCGGGGGTGCCCGCATCGTCCCGAAGTCGCCGCGGAAGTTTTGGGGCTGGCGGCCCGAGGACAGCCAGGCAGGGAGAGGGAGAGAGAGTCGACGGGGGGTGGACAGGTCGATCAGTAAATTGTCCTTATTTCGGAAGTTTTGGGCTATGACCAGGCAGGGAGAGGGAGAGAGAGTCGAGGACCAATTTCGAACTTTGCCCCTGCGGGTCCAGTCGACGCCGTGAGATCGAACACTCACGTTGGGGTTCGCCTGGCGGCAGGCACTCTTCGTTTTCTGCACACCTGCCAGCGTTTCAGTAGTCTGACCTGTAGAGTGTGCGTATTATGGCTCACATGTGACGGTTCAGACGCGTGGATAATCGTCGGGCCTCGTGTCCATACAGATCGGCGCGCGCCCTCGCCAGGTTAGGTGGTGTTGACTTTATTGGTTCCGAGGGCTTCTTCTCCCTTCCCCATGTGCCAGACCCACGGATCTGGAATCCAGGTTAGTCCGCGCTTGGGAGAAAGGGTAAGCTCGCACGCTTGCAGATATGGGACACGTACGCGGACAAGCCGGAGGAGGTGCGGCAGGGCGACAAGGTTTCCGCGTGAGTTCCTCTCTCTGCCGCTCTCTCTGTCTCTCTTTTTCCTTCTCTCAATATATATATATATATATATTCCTTTTCTATAACTCTCTCTCTCTCTCCTTATATTCATGTTGTACACGCAGTCTTATGCGGCAGCTCATACATAATTGCTCCACTAGTCAAGTCCTTCGTGGCCATGGTGCCCGATCCTGAGCTCAGAGGGGGGGGGGAAACATAACGATACCGATGCTGTTCCACGTTTGGGCCTGCTTAGGCCTCCAGGGGGAGAGATTTGGGGATGGCGTAGGATGAGGAGGAGGAGGAGGAGGAGGACGACGAGGAGTAGGAGTTGAGTTGGGTGTGCTGAGTGTGCTGACTACACGGGGCAGGGCCCCCTCTCCGCAGAGCATCAGGCCTACCACTCGGCAGGCTCCTCATAAAACTCGGGCTCCCCCCTCCCCAGGGACCTGGAAAAGTCCACCACGGCCGAGGGGGAATCAAAACCGTGCAACAAAGCGGCCTGTCTGTCGTCTAGCTGCGGCACGTTGGTGCCGTACTTGACCTCAAAGGCCGTCGGAGCACGCATCAACTGAACGTCCCCACTTCCTGCCTCCTGCCCCCACGCGCCTCCAGCGAGGGAGGGGAAGCGGGAGGCCCAGGACACGATGTCGTCGCCTGTGGGGCCGCGGACGTCCTCGATCCGCGCCTTAAGGCGTCCTGGCATGAACCCTCGGCGGAGGAGGGAACGCTGAGTCCGCAGACCAGGGGCCCCCCTCCCACGACACACCCCGTCCAGCCCCTCACCCGACCGAACAATCTTGTGCACCGAGGACCCACAAACTTTACAAAATAAAACGTCTGGCTCTGGCTCCGCCCCTTCGATCAGGGGCACGACCGACGCCTTGACAACCGAGTGACCATTGAGAGCCCAAGGCGTCCCAGAGCACTCCTGAAGATCTGGGCCCTCCTCCCCACCCGCAGCAGCAGCAGAAGGGGAGGAACGAGGGGGCGGCGGCGGCGGAGGAGGCGGCAGGGAGGCCGAGGACGCAGCTCCCCTGACAGGAACCACGCCTGGGACAGCCGCAAACGGCTCCACCCCCTCCTCACAAGCCGCACTGGCCAGGCACTACCACTCGAAAGGGCTGAGCTCGAAAGTGATATCCGAGGTCCCAACAACCCCCTCGGAGTCGACGAACCCCCCATCAACCATCAACTGTTGGGCCCTCGCATGCCATCTCGAGACATCGTGGGCCATGGCCTCGACCCCCTGTACAAAGGCGCACTGCTGTGGGGGGACCGACCACCTCAAGGCACCTTTTTTCGCCCAGCGGTCCGCCATCTGATTGCCGAGGATCAGCCAATCATCTTCAAAGCTGGTGGCCGAGGAGCGCGCACGATGCGCCTTGACCTTGACAGCCGTCGCCTGGTGGCCGATCCCCTCCCACCAGCGGGCCCAAAAGTGCCCTCTAGAATTCATGGGGTCGAGCGCCACGCCTGGATTCACCGCGCACTCAATCGAACCCGCACAGTCTGAGTAAACTGTGAGGGGATCTTGAGCATTCCACTCCGAGTATTCAGCCAAGACCTGAAAGGCTCTATCCTCTCCATCTCGCGCCGTTTGGTTGGGCGCGTAGCTGAGAGGAACCACTCCAAAGGTGCCTGCCACCAGGCGCCCGCTCTCGTTAATCTGGACGATGGACCACCCAGCGCGAGAGAGTCCAGAAAACCGAGAGTTGAACGCGCTGCCGTCCATCAAAAATTTTGCCCGAAAACTTCCAGCCCTCGGGGGCCCCAATCCAGATCAACTGGTCCTCAAGGTTGGCCTCCTGGATGGGAGAGCAACGGGCTGGAGACGGAAACAGACATCGAGCAAACATGTCCACCACCTCTGGCGCCTGCGAGCTCACTTTTCTGGCGGCTGTCCGCACGTGTGGCGGGCATTCCTCACGCCTGTGTGCCTCGATGCACGGGCACTCGTAAAACCGATGAAACAGCGTGCCCTGTCCTCCACAGATCAAGCATCGAGCATGCTGGGCCTTGCCATGTCTAAAGAGCCGCGCTTGTGGCCAGTGGGATCCACCCACTAAGCTCCGCAGCGCCGCCTTGTGATGCGGCGCCCAGGTGTCCGTGACACTGCGAGAGAGGAGGTGGTTGAGAGGCCCCCAGTGCAGAGCCCCCCGCCACCCCTTTTCAATTCTAGTCAGGGCAAGAACGTCTGAGGAAACCAGTGCAGCTTCCTTCGCACGCTCCGCTATAAAACCTGGCGTGAATTCCAGCATGGAATACTCGAGGCCCTGGAAGACCAAGGAGAAGGCCGCGGGCATAGCAATGCCAATGCGCGCCATGCAAAGCAGCACAACCTGACTGGGATCGATACAATGCGCCCAGGGCTTGGCTTTGCCGAGGAGGTCCAGCCCCCCAGCAACCCTGCATGGGGCCACGCCCTGGCAGCCCCGAGAGGGCCGAAAGAGCCCATTGCTTCGCCATTTCGACAGCATGCACAACCCAAGGGTCCCTGAAGGAGCCTCTGGGGGACACGCGCAATCGAAGGCCTACCGAGGTGCCTGCAGGGAGGCGGCCCTCCGCACGAATGGCCGACACTCTCAACCCATGTAACTTGTGGTCTGACAGACCAGTGACCGCACTCCCCCACACCGCCGTCGCCGTAGGAGACCCCCTCTGAATAGTGCTGACAGCAGCGCCTGCAGCTCTGAGCAGCTGAACTCCCGCCGAGACTCTCTTAGCCTTGGCGATTCGCTTATCTTGCTCCCCCACCCTCCGAGCCGACCCGTCATTAGCATCGGTGCCCAAGCACCTGGTCCCGATGAGTCGATCCTCATCGCCGAGAGACCACCTAGCGTTGAGCTGTACTGCCAGCTCTGCAGAGGATGTTAAATAGCCAGTCTTATCCCAGTTGACCCGCAGCTGTTTCTCCCGGAGCCCTCGGACCAAGGCCATCATGGCCTCAGGAAACTGGGAAAGAACCTGCTCAGCAGTGCCGGGCGCCTGGCAACAAATCGCCCACGAGGTTTTGAAACCGCACCGCGGGGAACCTGGCTTGCAACTTCTCGAGTGGCGTGTGCACCAGCAGCTTTGCCAGTGCCAACGCAGAGCTGCACCCCGCAGCGACAGTCCCGTTTGCCTCCACCGCAGGCGCAACTGCCCCCTGCCAAACAGCACGCCGAGGAAGCCTATACGCCGAGCAGAGGCTGCGAAGAAGGGCTAGCGGGGAACCAGTGTTGATGGCTTCCCTCCTAAGCTCCTCATGTGATATATATATATTCATAGTATTTCGAGAGGTCCGGCAGCCCACTGGCAGCCGAAAACCCCTTCAGACGAGCGAAACGCTGAAGCACATTATGCACTAGTCCTGACCTGTCACAGGTGTGCCCCGCATCTCCCCAGAAGGCGGTATTCGCCAGAGACTTCTCCCAACGACGAGCAACGACCTGACGACACCTCGACCACACCCGAGTCCAGAGGGAGAACAGGACGATGGGTCTCACACCCCCTGGGGGATTGGGCTTGCTTAAAAAGAAGACCAGAAGCGTCCAAAGATCCTGATCTTCTGGTGCTCTCTCCCACGCATGCAGGATGTCCAGGAAAGCCTGCCGATGCGAGCCTGGGAGATATGTCATCTGTCTGGGGTGCAACTTATCCCGCCCCAATCCTGCGCTGGCGGGGTAACTCTGGAGCACTCGGTCGAGCTGCTCAAGAGTGATTGGTGGGAGCTCAGCGTACGCGTCAAGCCTTCCAATCGGCGTTCCGCCACCCTCGGGCCTCGGGTGGACCCCCCGCGGGCACGTGCTTCCACCAGCCCCCGCGTCCCCAGTAGAGGGCCGTGAGAGCTCCCACGACGCAGGGTGCGGCCCGCACTCCCGCTCTACATTCACCCAGAGTGGAGCCCAGGTCTGCATGATCAAATCCAGGGCCTCTTGGCCTGCTACAGGGAGCGGAGGAGCGCTGGCTTCTGCCGCCGTCTCCATGACAGAGGGCTGCGTAGTATCACGGACGAAGCGAAAGGCGCAGTTGCCACCGTTAAGAACCGCCGCCTGGGCCCACTCACGCCAAGCTCTAGCTGCTTCGGCTCTCGAAGCCCTCTGGAGATTGGCCAAGTGTTGCCTCGCAGCCTCCATGAACTGCGAGGCCCTGGCCGAGTCCCCATCAACCCGAGACGCGATTAAATCGACTAAGTCCTGACGTGGGGTCTGGGCCCACATGCTGAGCGACCCCGACTCAGGCCAAGTGTCAAGAACAATGCGACTGACAACATCCCTCTGTCTACGCAGGGCAGCCAGCGACGGGCATCGACGGGCTCTGGCTACAGAGCCCAACTCCGACAAGCGAATGGCCGCCGAATAAAACCTGGCCCAGGCTTTTTACTCACTGCTAGAATGCTGTTTGAGAGAGCGCTCCCATGCCTGAGTGAACGGTTCATTCGCTGTCTTGAAACCCTCGGCGCGACCTCTCCAGGCACCTTGCGCCCAGCCCGACAGGCCATGAAACTCCGACAGATAGGCTTCGGCATGACGAAACCAAGCAGCACACGCCTCGCCGAGGTCTCCAGGGAGTGCCTCTCCAATCGTCCAAGGCCGCTCTTCGCCTGAAGCAATCTGTGGTGCAGGCCGCACAGGGGGCGGCTTGCAGATCGGAAACTTGAGCGGGAAGACGGGGCGCGTCACACGCGCTTGTCTCCCCAAGCCTCGGAGCCGAACGTTTGCAGGGATGTGCGTCTGCAGCGTTGAGCCCTCGATCGGCACCACCGCGTGGATGAAGCCAGACAGCGCGCGCGAGCAGACGCCAAAGTCGATCTCTGCCACCGCACGTAGGTGCACCCGTTGTCAACGGTATCGCTTGAGCGCGCAGGGCCCACTCCTGCACCTCCTCGGGCAGCATGTTGAAGTCCCCGAGCACGATCCACGGCCCAGGAAGTGAGCCGAGGTACTCCATGAGCTGCGTCAGAATGTCGATCTTCTGCTTGGTCAGGCCGATGCTCGTGACCAAATACAGGGAGACCACGTGCAG